TGTAATCCCCAGGGTTGCACATTTTTAGAACATCTTGGGAGTAGGGACCTGTTTACAAATAACACTTCCTTTAGGGGTAATCCATTGCTAATTCCATTTCACATTCATTGCTGCCTTGTTGATCATTGTGATTACAAGTTATAGATAAGTCCTCCGACCTCAACAATTCATTAAGGTGGGTTCGATCGATTCCCAGACATTTGTTGTTACATTTCTAACGCTGCGGTATTGATTCTATTGAAATAAATTACACTGCCAAGGGTAAACAATTAAAAACTTGGTTTGATAGCTCTTTTGGCATGGAGCTAGGGCAGAAGCAACATTTGAGATGACCACCAGTAAGGAGTGGTCAACTATCAGCGTGGCATCATTCAAGGTAGGGGAAGAAGTCAAGAGGAGATGCAGTCATCCCAGGCATATTCCTTTATTCTTACACAAATCGAGTCTCTGGTTTTTATTTACTTTTGCTTTATAAAGAGTTGAGTGTAATGATTAAGACATCAGGGTAGAAAGCAGGAAACCATGAGGTCTGGTTTTGCCTTAGGCACAAAGCCAGCTGGGTGATCGTGTGCCTGTCATATTCTCTCAGTTCTAGGAAAGAGGCAATGGAAAACCATATGCAAAAAACCTTACCAGGTTTTTTTTTTTTGAAGACATGCATGCACATGCGCATGCATGCACGGAGAGAGAAAGGGAGGGAGGGAGGGAGGGAGGGAGAGAGACTCTTGAATTTAACTAGATTTCTGGGAGTTAAGAGAGATAGATTCGTGTAATTTTCTTGGCAATAATACAGATATAATTTATCATTACCTTTTCCCATGATATAGGGGTAGTCCTGGACCTACAACAGTTCCTCCAGTGACTGTTCAAAGCATTGAAAACAAATGGCTTATGACCACTTTTCACACTTACAACTCTTGTGGCATTTCCGCAGCCATGAAATCAACCTTTAGACTCTTGGCAACCGATTCGTATTTGTGATGATTGCAATATCCCGGGGGGGGGGGGGTTCATGTGATTTCTCTTTCACGACCTTCTGACCAGCAAAGTCAATGGGGAAACCAGATTCACTTAACGATGATGTAACTGACTTCACAACTGCAGTGATTCAACTTAACAATGGTGGCAAGGAAGGTTGTAAAAGTGGGGCAAAATTCACTTTGCAACAGAAATGTTGGGCTCAATTCAGTGGTGGGTTTCAAAAAATTTTAGAACCTCTTCTGTAGGTGTGGCCTGCTTTGTGGGAGTGGCTTGCCGGCCATGCGACCAGGTGGGAGTGGCTTGCCAGCCATGTGACCAAGTGGGGGNAAAAGAATGGGACGACAGAGAGTGAGGTGGCTGGATGGAGTCACCGAAGCAGTAGGCATGAGCTTAAATGGACTCCAGAGGATGGTAGAGGACAGAAAGTGCTGGAGGAACATTATCCATGGGGTTCGCAATGGGTCGGATATGACTTTGCAACTAACAACAAAGCAATACAGTAAAACGATTGGGAAAGTGTGACTTGGATTTTTTTCCAGATCTGTAGATTCTAAATTTATACATTCTATTTGAACAATATCGTTTTAAAAAATTCATTTCCAGGTATTTGGGGAAATACGTATTTGCATCTTTGAAGTGAAATGGAAGACATTCAATAATTTCTTTTAGTAGGAAAATTTTCCTTCCTTCCCACCGATCAATATGCACTAGCAATTTTTTTAAACATTTTTTTTACAAAATAATGCTGAATTCATTGATCACTCTACTGGCATTTGCACAATCCTCAAAAATAATTTGTTCAATGGTGTTGAACCTAAGTTTCCAATTGTAAAAATAATGCTAATGATCATTTATGTTGTTGTCGTTCTTTAATGCAACTAACTATAAAGGTTACTGGTAAACCTTGTAAAAATAGTGATAGTGATGGTAGTGATGATATTAATAATTTTAACAGCAAAAATGTTCATTCTGGAGAACCACTTGAACACCATCAACATTGAAAAAAATAACTGTCAATCAATTGTAAAAGGCAGCTTTACTTGAAACAGCTTATATCATTCAAGGATGGTTTTAACACTATCAAACAACATCTGCCTCTTCTATAACATTTGTATTCTATCGCATTTTTCTAATTTAGGTGGAATGTTAATATATATTGCTAGTCCATGTATGATATGCCATACGCTAAGAAGTAAATAAATGTCTCTCCTAAATCCTTGAGAAAGACTCAATTTATGTATATAAACAGCTCTTTCTGTGTGTGTATGTTCCAGCATAACTCTGGAATGCAGTGGTGGGTTTCAAAAAATTTAGAACCTCTTCTGTAGGTGTGGCCTGCTTTGTGGGAGTGGCTTGCCGGCCATGTGACTGGTCGGGTATGGCCAACTTGTAAAATGTGGTGAAACTCACTTAACAACGCTCTTGCTTAGCAACCAAAATGTTGGCTCAAAAACTCTGGCATTTGAAGCACACNGATGCTGATTAAGATCCTCTCCTGATTATAAAAGGGACTGTTTGTGCCACGCCCTGGTTGCAGGAGTCAACGTTCTCACTCACAATTCAGAGAAACCAACTTGGAGAAGTGGTTTGCTATGAGAGTTTGTTTGCATTGCCTAGGTTTGTAGTAATTGTTGCCAGAGAGCTTATCTCTTTGTTTATTTTGGGCTTGCAGCCAACAAGAGTCTGGACTGATTAAAACATTCTTTCATATGTCTGTTTGTGGCTTTCATTTCTGGATGGAGAAAGGGAGTCAGAACAGGGAACTATCCAGCTTACGGAAGAGAAGGATTGGGGAGAGGGACATAATAACCATCTTCCAGTATTTGAGGGCTGTCCCAGAGAAGAGGGTGTCAACCAATTCTCCAAAGAACCAGCGAGCAAGACAAGAAGTGGATGGAAGCTTTTAAAGAGATGCAACCTAGGAGAAATTTAAGGTCAGCTGCCTTAACAGAGAGTTGGACTAGAAGACCTCAAAGGTCCTTCTACTAGCCCTATGATTCTATGTCATTCTAGATGGCCAAATCTAGGATTTTTTTCGTGTCCCAAGCAACGGGAACAAAATCTGTTTTCTCTCCATCAACCGCATCCTGATGAGGACGTTACATTAATGGAGACGTTGAGTTTTGAAAGAATCTCCCTGAGATATGGTCCCAAATAGCTTGAAAATAGATTAGTGCAACTTCAAGACCGCCACAGTTGAGAATCAGATAAGGTCTTGGCGTTCATCAGAGGTTTTTATATTTGCAACTTCATCAGCTTCTAAGCGGCTGGCAAAATCACTAAAGTCAACTGAGCTGGAAACCCACACAAGTTTCAGTAATTCAATAATTTATTCATCTAAAAAAGTGTGTAAAAGTATATAGCTCTCATCCACAAGGTATATATGAATGACATTTAAAATGGAGGGTTTTTTTATTATTATTGGTTCTTCTTTTTATCAAAGTCTCTCTTTTTTTTTTTTAGTGTATTGTACCAGCGATATACTGTTAAGGTTTAAAATGAACTTCACATAGTTCTGTGTTTTGTTCTGTTTCAAATTGGCTATATATAAAAAGAGGGCCACTGCAAAATGCTCAAGGAAAAGAACTCAAAATCAAATTCTCCCAAGAAATGTACAGCCTTTACATTTAAAAAAAGGTTCGGAAATATACATACAAGCATGCTGGACAACTGTGCCCCCTCCCCAACCCCCACCCCACCCCGTTTTTGCTCAAACTGTACTCATTCTGATTTCTGTATGATTTCTAAAATTAGAAATTAAAAAAAATAAAATAATTTCTTCACTCTGTAGGAAATCCAGGGCTTGTACATTTCAGGTTAATTCAGTAAAAAACCCACAAGTAAAATAATGCATATTTTAAAGGGAAATATACAGATTTTTTTTTTCACACTGAAGGTACATAAGATTTTTTTTCTTTTTCTTTTAAAATCTATTGCCATTCATTTATTTTGCACAAAAATGTATAAATATGTTAAACCAGTTTCTCTTAACTTAAAAAAAATTAAATAAAAACAACATCAGATGAAAACTACTCCTTATTAACCCCCTTCCCAATATTTATGGATTTGGGGGTTTTTGTGTGTGTGTGTGTGTTTTAAATGTTTGCATTAGAATTGGATCTCTGGGGGTGGGGAGAGAGAGAGAGAGAGAGAGGGGTCACCCCTTAATTAAAAAAACAGCCCGTTAAAAAGAAGCCAACCCAACTATAATCCAAAATTCAGGCGAATCTTGGGAACAAATAACCCCAAAATGTTAAAAGATAACTTTACATAGTTTTCCTCACCAAGAATTTTTTTTTTTTGTATACAAGTTTACAATCTTCATCTTTTAATGCTCTTCAAAAGGCCTTGAGAATTTTCCTTTCCGATTAAGAAAAAATAGTAATGTAATATTTTTTTTTTAAATCCATTTTACACTGTGTACATTAGATACAAATGGTTTTTCCATATATCTGAATTTCCCCCCCACCCCTTCCTATACATTGCAAAACTCCTCCAGGTGGGCGGCCTGGAGCAGAGAATAATAAGAGCAAATCCATTTACAGGGTCATCTGACCTATCCTTTCCCACCATTCATGGGATTACTTTTTTTTAATAATTATAATAATTATAATAATAATAATTATAATAAATCTGATTTAAACATTACATCATCGTTTTCAAAAAAAATATTTAAATTCATAGAAATTTTCATTTTCTTTTCTTTTCTTTTCATTTAACCAGAAGAAAAGAGATGGTTGGAAGAACTTCAAAAATGTGAAAGGGTCCTTTAAGGGTGGCCGTGACGACCAAAGTCCCGCCCTCTTTTCCCCCCTTCAAAGCAGCCTTGGCCTGTCACCGCTAGAAATGGGAATGCCCCCCCCCCATTTAGATGCCTCCAATCCGAGGAGTTATTCAAATCAGGGGTGGGCAGCTTTTAAAGGCTTGTGGACTTCAACTCCCAGAATTCCTCAGTCGGCATGGGAGTGTGGAAGTCCACAAGGCTTCAAGTTGTCCCGGCTGAGGACTTCTGGGAGTTGAAGTCCGCCAACCTTCAAGTGGCTAAGTTTGGAGACCCCCTGATTCAAACAATTTCATGGCTTTAAGCTTTTTCTTTTTAAAAACAAACAAACAAACAAAATCAAATCTTGACGCCACATTTTAAATAAGTCAGGCTTATGCTTTTTCCGCCCACCCGATGTTTTCTTTTAAGTTTCCATATTAATGTAATGAAGTAGGCTTTTTTTTAAAAAAATTCTCTGAAATATCTCTTATTTAGGTTTTGGGAGGTGGGAGTGGAGAATATGGACATAATTGTTTCAAAAATTTGGGTGCATCTGAATGTGGATATGCAAGACGGGATGCTAGAGAGAGAGAGAAATAATCCACATTGATCAAACCGGAAGGTTTTTTAAAGAAGAGACTGGACAGCCATTGGTCCAGAATGGCACAGGGTCTCCTGCTTGAGCAGGGGCTTGGACTAGATGACCTCCAAGGTCCCTTCCAGCCCTTTTATTATTATTCTATTCTAAAGACCTCCTTAAACTTTCCTTTCAATGGTTATTCTGCCACCACCACCCCCTCTTTTGGGGGGCTGGGGGTTTCCACACTTGAAACAGCCAGTCCCTTCCAGTCATGTGGAACTACCCCTCCCATGATTCCCAGCCCCTGCCCCACACGATCCCACTGCTAATGGCTCCGGGTGACGAGATGATGATTCCCAAAAAGCATCCGGATGCTATCAGATTGGAGAAGGCATGTTTTCGTGAGTTTTCCGTATTTTTGCCCCCGGTCTTGGCTATTTTGCATGACATGTCGTTAATCTGATTTACTTTTTTAAAAACATTCTCGGCAGGCCGCCTCCTTAACTCAGAGGGTCCACCCCTCAAAATGTTTTCTTTTTCTTTTTAAACATATGTGACTCTTTTGAGTTCTTCCTCAATGGCTCCTTTGAACTGTTTCCCTGCTCCATCCCGCCCCGCCCCGCCACACCCATTTCTAAACTAAAAAGCGAGAGGTATGCCAAAATAAAAATTTTAAAAAAAAAATAACCCCACTTCTCGGTGAGATGGGAATCAGATCGCGTCCTGTACCTGGTCCTCTATAATTTAATAGCCCCTATAAATAAATTAAAAATAAAACAATAAAAACCGGACAAACGTCAGCGTGTCTCCAGACCATTCGTATCTACATGGATTGGGGAGGCGGAGGGGGGGGCAAAAACCCCCAACCCCGCATTCATTCATTCATCCCATTCTGCCAAGGAGTTCCAGGTACATCAAAAATAATAATAATAATAATAAAAAAAATCCCATATATATTTCTTCGACTAGTAGAATCGGTTCTTCCGTCGCAGTCCCGTGGATGCCATGGGGTTTTTGTTGTTGTTGTTGTTCAAGGAAAATGCCAGAAGTTTTGGGCCGTTCAGACCGGTCTCACCGCAAGATCCGTGCACCGAAACAGAAAAAGAAAGGGGGAAGAAAAAAAAAGAACGGGAAAAAAAAGAGAATGAAATGAAAGACGTATTGTCTTCACTGTGGTCCATAATTCTAGTCAAGGTGTTCAGCCAGCGAAATTTAACACTGCCTTCAAAAGTCGTAACACGCCTCCGGCTGCCCTGAAACTCTTGCAGGGGAAACAAGATTCTCCCGTTTTGGTAGACGGGACGGTCCTCCTGCTTTCTTGAGGAAATCGGGAGCATGGCTCCGGCTTCTTCTCCGCCTTCTTCAGACCGGGATCTGAACTCTTGCAGGCCAAGCGCGTCTTTCTTCCAGCGGAAAGAGAAAAGGTTTGGCTACACCTCCGCCTCCGCTACTAGAGAATGTTCATGATGGCGTTGTAGAGCTGGGTGAGCACCACAAAATGAACAGGAAGGCAAGACCCACGATCCTGGGTCGCCGGATTACAGGTTAGCCATGACAATGCGTTATATTGTTCCAGGACGAACCTGCAGTGAGAGAGAGGGGGAGAGGGAGAGAAGAGAAGAGAAAAAGCAGGTCAGAAGAAAACTGATGGAGGGATGTTCTCTGATCCAGAGATGAGAGATCCGTCTTTCAAGCGGAGGTGGCCTACTGCCGGTTCGCCCCCAAAAACAAAATTAGCCCCAAAGACTTCCCTTAATATTTTGCATGCAACCTCCAAAACAATAAAAGATAATATAGCAATAGCAGTTAGACTTATATACCGCTTCATAGGGCTTTCAGCCCTCTCTAAGCGGTTTACAGAGTCAGCATATTGCCCCCAACAACAAGGCCCTCATTTTACCCACCTCGGAAGGATGGAAGGCTGAGTCAACCCTGAGCCGGTGAGATTTGAACAGCCGAACTGCAGAGCTGCAGTCAGCTGAAGTAGCCTGCAGTGCTGCATTTAACCACTGCGCCACCTCGGCTCTTAAATATTATTTGTACGGTCCAGGTTTGAAATGTGGGGTCCAACGTTCCATTACCAAACTGAGTAAGATCATCAGTGCTAGAAGGGGAGAAGTTTGTGGAGAGGAGAAGGGGGAGGAAGGCAGAGGATGAAGAGGTGGTGGAGGAGGAGAACTGTGGGGTCCTTGGTGCTCTCTGAGCTTGGTTGTTTCCTTGCAAAAAGTAGGTAAGATCATCAGTGGTTGAAGGTAGGGAGGTTTCTGAAGAGGAGGAGGAGGAGGCAGAGGAGGAGGGGGAGGGGGAGGAGGGGAAATGGAAGGAGGAGGAGGAGGAGAGTAAGATCCTTGGTGCTCTTGATTGTTTCCTTGCAGGCGTTCCATTACCAAACTAGGTAAGACCATCTGAGCTAGATGGTGGCACCAAAGGCGTTGGTGCCTAGGCCTGGGAATGAAACATCTTCAAGGAAACAAACCTAACTCAGAGATCACCAAGGAAGGCCCTTCAAAAGCAACCGAAAACACTTGGGCAGATCTTCCACAGCGGAAGCCCGGTCAAAGACCAATCCTTGCATTGTGACCGACGCAGAACCAGGAGGCCAATTACCTGAGGACATCTGATGTGGTTTTGGAGTCCAAGGGGTGGGGAACTCTCTGGGAAGTCCGGGCAGGAAGGAGTTCATCTGTTTGCGCTACGGAGATGTGATGGTGCAGTGAGGCCTGTCAGGAAGCGGAAGACAGGGGCGGTGTGATTGTGATGACACGGCACAGAGGCAACAAAGCCAGCTGAGAGTTCAAACTCCCCTTTTAACGCTCCAAATTTCCCCCTCAAAGGCTCCCATGTTCTTGGCAAGTTCCGGAGCAATACACACCCACACCCGAAGCAGCCTCTGGCTGCACCCAGTCCAGCAAAACACAGGAAGAGGGAAATGAATCCATGAAACAAGGGACAAACAAGGAACCCAGAAGGCACTGAGTTCACAAGAAAGGAAAGATGCAGTCGTGCAAACTCCAAACATCTGTACCGGCACAGCAAACCCTACCAATTCAGTGTTTGTTCCCGACAAATGCCCCTCCTTAAAGGGGCGTTTGGCTCCTTAAATCTCAGTCCCCGGGTGTGCCTTGTGAAGAGGGGAAGGGCGCTCTCCTCCCGAGTGGTCCAGTCAGCCTATACTGTTCTCACCTTCTCTCCACTCTCTGTGCTCTTGGATCAGGAGCGGGTGGTCCTTGCTCATCGCCGGAGCTCTATCCCTCGTGTTCACTGCTTAGCCTCTCCTGGTCATCCTGCCCCTCTTCCTCTCTCCCTACAAGTCGGCCCAATCCTGAAAGGCCCCGGCCTGCCTCGGCTGCTCCTCCCCACATTCCTCTGAAGCCAACAAAGCCACCCCCTCGATCTCTGTTGGCTCCACTTGTCTTCCTCCACAGATTCAGGCTCTGACAGGGGCATGACAGTGATTAAGCAACTCACATCCTTCTGTGACCCCCCTCTCCCCTGCAAACTAGGGAAGCCTGGTCCCCACTCCCCCCCCTCTGAGAAATAGCGAAACCAACCTTGAGAAAGAGGGGGCACTGGTTCTGAGCTTGAGGACAGGAGGACCAGAACCACTGAGGAAGGTTCTCGGCTTTGGCAGTGGAAACGAAGTAACCCAGGGCGAGGGGCTGCTGCTTCAGTTCTTCGGGGGCTTCCCGGGAAAGGAGACGCTCCCCTTGGCTCTGAAAAAAATCAAGGTGAGAAGGGCAATGCAGGTCAGTGCCGGGAGCATGCAGGTATCAACGGGGTCCCTTGTGACCAGATTGTAGTGGCCCACCAGTGGCCAGCAGCTCTCACAGCAGATCCTGACAGTGAGGAGGTTGGGGAGGAACATGGGCCAGTCCCGGAGTCTGGGGAAGGCTTGGACGAGGGCTCTGCATCAGAGGCAGAGATCATCTGCCAAGACCATCTGGTAGTTATCAGCTGCCTTCGGAGCTAGACAGCAATGAGGCAGAGGAACAGCTGCAGCCTGTTCCCAGTGTGCACATGCGCAGAGCTGCCAGAAGAACAGTTAAGAAATCAGGGTAGACTTGGGAGTAAACCCACAGGTGGACGGTGAAGGGCCCTCCAATAGGAAATAAAAGGGGAGGGAAAGGGGAGTGGGCTTTTGCACGAAACAATTCATTCATTCGTTGTTTGTTTCAGGAGTGTGAAGATCTGTCTGTGAATCTCA